CTCTTTCCATGGTAACTATACACAATGCTGGCGATGGTACGAGTTGGCGGTAAGTGAAACAAAAGCGCTAGAGAAGAAGCTTTTTTTTTTTTAATTTTTCTTAAAATTACAAAAAACCAAAATTAAATAAGAAAGAAAAAAATCCATCTGCCATCTCACATTAACACTACGAAATGTGATTTGACTTGTTGTCCCCACCCACCTCCTTCCCCCTTTTCCCCCTTTTATTTTCGATGCTGTTGAGTAATGCCGCCTGGATTTTGGATGTACATATCGTTTTGTAGCAGTCTGAGCTGTTTGATTACTGACTTCATGGTGATTTCCCCTTGCACATCTTACTCAGAGTTACTGAACTCCAGTTTGGCTGGTTTTTATTAATGCACCCATTTCCTCTTCTCTCTCTCCTGCCCCTTCTTTCTGCTGCTCTCTCTTTCTGAGACCTGTTTGTAGCTGTTACTGTTTGTTTTCTCTCTTTCTCTCTCTTCCCCCCTCTTCCCCGGTTTGTTTCTTTACTCGGTTAAATGCAGCTGTTGGTCTCTTTGCTGACTGGTGGTTTCTGATCGGTTCTGGCAATTTTTCCTTTAAGTGCTTGTGTTGCACTTTGCTGTAGCAGCTGATTTCAGGCACTCGCTCCATCTTAATGATTGTCTGTGAGACCCTATCTCCTCCCTCCCCCCCTCCCCACCCTCTGAATCAATTGTGGTTTGTTTTTTTTTCTTTCTTTTATCTGTGTGTGTTTAACTGCATGCTCTCAGTCTCATCATTGTTGTTTCCCATTCTTTCTTTTTAAATGTGTAATGTTTCTATTGTTTTGGGGCTGAAACGAGAGTAAATGTAGCTCCAGACTCCTTACCCTGCGTATTCTCACCATCCATGAATCTCCCCAGCGGCTGTTTGTATTTCTTTTTTTTTTTTTTTTTTTTTTTTTCCTTCACCCTGGCCTCAATTCCTGTTTGGCATGGGTTTTGATAAATTATTGATGTTGTATAAAAACTTCACCCTCCTTGCAAGAACTTTGAGGCTGTCTGACACGGGGCTGCAGTAACTTGGCTTCCAAACTGGTCCATCTTTTCTTTATCGGCACCATCTCTGTGGTAACACCCCACTTGCTTGAGCAATCAAACTGCTTGGAACTATGCAGAGCTCTGTAAAGAGGGTGGAGGGCACAATAAAATCCAATAAAGACCCAGGTCTGCTGCTGTGTATTTCTTCTTTTTGGTCACTAATACTTGTGGCAAGGAAACAATAATCTGGAAAAAGATTTGAAAATGATGGGGAAGAAATGGGTGAACGTAGAGTGTCCGAATGCTTGGTGGCGTTCCAGAAATCTCAAGCCTTGGGAGTTCAAATCTAAAGCTGATGGACTCCCAGCTGCCTTTTTCTATCTAATAAGTATGCCTGCCAGCGACCTGCCGGGCCCTGATCCCAGTGGTGAGCTGGAGAAACAAGTCAGCTTGTGCATCACCTGGTTCAGTTCCCCTGCCCTGAGCTGCAGAAATTATTGTTGCCTCTCGAACAGAACCTGGACAAAACCTCCAGAGTTTTGCCCTTTCGATCAGTGAGCTGAAAATACGCACGTGCCAAGGGGTGGCAGGGCGGTGGAGAATCTGCACTTTACTCTCGTTGGCCTTTTGTTTAATGCATAATTTTAAATTGCCATGTTTAGCTGTAACTTCTATATTTAAATGGCAACTGTTAAAAGTAATTTAAAGATTGCATTTTTGTAAAATTAGTTGTTTAATTTTTTTTGCTCAGAGAAGTATAGTGTGTGTGTGTGTGGTAGCTGAGAATTTTCCACTGTTTTCCCTAATATGCTGTGCTTCCTTCCCTCTCCTCCCCCTCCCCTTTCTTACTTCTAGGTTAACAACGCCACTGCGCGAGTGATGACCAATAAGAAGATGGTCACACCGTACGCAAATGGTAAGAGAGACTGTTCGTACTAACGATGAAGAAAGATAAAAGGGAGAAGTCATGACCTCTCCTCAAGATCAGAAAAACCCCCAAAAGAAACCAACAAAACCCGACAAACCCTAATGCATAGCATTATTCTTCAGTATAAACCCCCTTAAGGGTTTATGGAGGAATACTGGTTTACAGCTGGAGAAGTGGGAACAGAGAGGAGTAGTGACATGCCCAGTATGGCCAAGCTGGGTAAGGAAGTCAAGGACCCATGGGTTGCCTACCGCTGCTGCGAGCTGATGCTGTGCACTGGGATGTGCTGTACTCCTGAGTCTCCTTGCCATCGCGTAGATACCTAAATATGACTGCAGAAGCATAGCTTAAGAGATGTAATTGGATACGTCTCAGTTTTAGGTTCTAACTGTAAAAGTACAGCTGTCCCCAAGCAGCCGGGAAAGCAGAGGCATTGCGCTGCTTGTTTGCTCGCTTTTTGTTACAGACTGCCTGTGTTCAGTCATTTTCCAATGAGCCTGAATAGAGAAAGACCAAGTTGTATTGGTAATGAAGAATCCTGTTTTATCGGGACATCTTGGTGGTTCTGTCTGTGCAGTAATTTTATTGCATAGGCATATATAGCATAAAAAGTCGTTCTTCTCCCCACAGAACTGAATGCTGCTTCAATAGTGATTTTGAGTCTGAGTCTTTGTCCTGAAATGGGCAGAGAAGTTCTTTTTGGTCTGAAAATGTTCCCAGACAGCTTCAACGAGGCAGGAAGCTGCGTATAAGTAGTTGCTAGTGTGAGGATCCACTTTGATTACAGCGTAAGACTCGGAAGTCAGAAGATATGAATTTTAGTTGTGGCTTTGCTACTGACTTGTTGCGTGGCTCTTGGCAAGTAAATCTCATTTTGGCTACGAAACTGGGGAAACAGGGCCAGGCAGAAAGGCTGCGATTCTGAGTCTCGGTGTCTGAAAGGAACCAGGAGATTCTGTAGCAGAAGGCAACGCAGCCGTGTTATGTTGTCCTGAAAACAAGGGCGGAAAATGCGTATGACTATTTGGTAACAAAACTTGGCTTACTTGTAAAACCCCGATAACGGGCAGGAATATTTTGCTTTGCAGCCAGGGGTTTAAATCCAGCTTTAAAGGTACACAAAGGTACTAAGTATTAGGCCAGGCTTGAGGCATACTGATGAGTGGTTGTACAACTTTTATTAAATTTGAGGGTTGATCCCGTCCCTCGTTGCCACCGCTCACGTGAGGATTTTGCCGTCAGGGTGGGCAGCGCAGCAGCAGCGTGCCCAGTCTCGCAGAGGAGCGTGCGTTGCATCGCTTGTTGGTACTCTGCCAGCAGAGGAAGGGATGGTGTTGGTGGGCTGCAGTTCACAAGGCTGCTCATACAGTTTCTAGGCTGGTTAGAGGTGTTAAAGGGCAGTAGGTGCATCAGGGCTTCAAGACAGAGGGAGGGTATGGATTTATTTAAATAAAAATACCTGTGTGATTGCTAGCTGAACAGCTGAGATCTTTCCTGAAAGGAAAGCTTTGTGGAAGCCAGCCCAGTTCATGTTGTTAGCTTTACACCTCTTCTCTCCCCCGATAGAAAGGTGGGTGAGGACAGACAGGTTTCTAGATCTCGCTGGAAATGTGTTCCTCTTCATACTCCAGCTATGACATCTTTAAGTACTATATTCTTGTCATTTTTGTGTTGATGATTTGCAGTTCTTGCCAATTACCCAGATAATGTTAAAATCAATTCTCGGGGAAGGCTTTCGCCTGAAAAGCAGCGTAAAGAAGACAGGAAATACTAAAATAACAGAGAGGAGAAAATGTGAGATGAAGAGACCGAATTGCTTTTCTGCACCACAGTTGTGTAATTGAGTTAATGAGGAAATTCAGACACTGTTGCTTTTTCACAGATCTCTAGCAAATGAGACAGAAGGGTGTTTTGAGAATTTAAGGCTAGAAATTGGCTTGCCCGGGATGACAGCCTGGGCTGGTGGCTTTAGAGAGGTTTCTGATCTGCAGCGTTCCCGGTGAAAGTACAGAGGAGCTGGAGGAGCTGACAGCAAGGTTCATGCAGAGAACACAGGGTCGCACAGTGCTCGTGGCGAATATGCATACAAGGTAGTTGGCGTTCCCTCAGCGGCACCTCTGCCGTGCTGCGGATCAGCTGATGTTTTGCTGTTCCCTCCGATACAGTGACCTGTACCTAGAACTTGACATTAGCAAAAGGCAGTTGGCCTCCATCTACACCAAGGGGGACTGAGGTGAAGCAGAAATTGGAAAAAGCTGTGCATGTGAAGCTGGGGCGCATGCAAGAGACTGTTCCCCCTACCCACGCTGCCCGCTCCTTCTCTTGGTGTAGATTTTGGCATTCACTGCGGTCTTTGTTGTTTCAGGTTGGAAGTTGAGTCCTGTGGTTGGAGCGGTGTACGGCCCTGAGTTATATGCAGGTAGAGCTTAAGTAGACACTTCCACTTCTGCCATTTAACTGCAGTGGTGTTTGTTTATGTTCTCAATCTGCTGTTTCTTTATAACCTTTTTACGTTTGTTTGTTTTTTGTTTTGTTTTTTTTTTTTTTTATTCTTTTTAAAATTATTTTAGCATCCAGCTTTCAAGCAGATGTCTCGCTGGGCAATGACGCCGCAGTGCCCCTGTCAGGAAGGGGGGGTATTAACACTTACATTCCTTTAATCAGTAAGTAGCCCCCGTTGGCCCCATATTATTACTGTGCTTGAGTTAACGATGACCTGTTACCCTTCTTCTCTTCAGTCTGTATAATATATACTTGAAAGGATGGGTCTCGCTGGGAATGAGTTTACTTCAAGCCAAAGTATACTGTGCAGTGGCTGTAACTTGTTCATCTCCAGTGTGTTTCTGTACTGGCACCTGGGTCTTTCTGAGCGATGAGGAGGCTGCAGAACAAGGGGAGGGTGTGTGTGAGGAATAGACCATTCCCTTGCCCCCCTCCCCCTTTTGAAATCAAAGAAACCAACCAAACAAATCCCTAAAGTACATATTATACAAGCTGCTAAACCGCCAATCTGCAGGGCCCTAGTGGCATGCACCTGGACGCACGCTGGGTTGGGTTTACGCCCTGGGACTCCTTCCCTCTCGGTATCTGTTTATTACGGGTTTGCAGATGCCTCTGAGGTTTTACATCATTTCATCACGAGCCAGTTTACTCGAGCATAAAGCGTAATAAAGCAGGCCTCACTGTACGTGGAGCCAGTTATTGGTCACACTTGTTAAATGAAGGTGGGCTCTCAGTAAACTGGCACTTTATGGGGAAATTTCTGCTGCTGTTATATGGGCTATCTTGTCTTTCAGGCTTTAAAATGAACATACAGAGGATTGGGTGGCAAAGAGTGGGAGGGGAAAGGAGGGAAGAGACTGATGTAAGTTGGTTGACTTTAAGGGCCTCTTGACAAATTATTTTAAAGAGCCTCTGCAGTTTTGGAAGAGCCGCCTGCTGTATTGATAGTAACTCTCTGCGCTTCTCAGACTCTAACCAGACTGCATGGCGGTGTCAAAAGGCGGGGGGATTTGTACCCTGTTTGTGATGGGTGAGGCATGCCAAAGCATTAACCTCTTGCATGCCAAACCTCTCTGCAACCCCTTTTCCCCCAAAGGCCATGGTGTAGCAGGAAGTATGTTGGATGCTTGCTGGGTTATAAGCATGCCCCTCTGCAGGACTGATGCAAAACGTCCCACCGCTGTGGAGCTATTGTGTCACTTTGTTTGAAGCAGATGGTTGTTCTCTGGGCAGGAGCTCGGATCCTTTTCACCCTCCGCCTTGTCTGTCTTTACAGTTCCAGGCTTCCCCTATCCAACTGCCGCCACCACAGCAGCCGCATTTCGGGGAGCCCATCTGAGGGGCCGAGGAAGGACAGTGTATGGGGCAGTCCGGGCGGTACCTCCCACAGCCATCCCTGCCTACCCAGGGTAAGCACTGGTCATGAGAGCAGAGTGCTCTGCACAACCGTGTCAAATAGCTAATCGGTTAACCAAAAAATAACTAAAATTGTCTGGATGGTGAGAGTCAGGATATTGCTAGTGCCAGAGCATTCTGCACACGATGGCATCCAGTGGGGGCAAACCTAAATTCTTCCACGTAGGTTCTTGACTGAAACGATTTTCAGCACTTGCAACAGCTTAAAGCGCTGATGGGTTCCTTCTCATAATTTCTCAATTTGTTTACATCATATTTGTCATCCATTGTCCCAGTATGCTACAGTGCTGCTGAGAAGGACGCAAAGAGAAGGTCTAAAATTTCTGAAAAGGTTCTGCTCTTTGCACTCCATTTGTGTTTTCATACCCAGGAATGAGGAATATTATCCATTACCTTCATGCCTCACCATCTGGCAGTAGGACACAGAAGAGCCAGTTACCCACAATGGATTTGCTTTCTTTGTTGGAGACAGTTTAAAAAGGTTTAAAACAAAGATTAATCAAGTCCATTAATTTAAAGCTGGGAGTGTTTGGGATATAAGGAGAACGAAAGTGCAGTGTTCTTCTGTTGTATGAAGCAACGGTGAATGGATTCTTTACCCTCTGGCTTTTGACTAGTAATGCAGTGGAACAGATGCTGTTACAGAAGAGTGTGCTGCTGTTTAAAAGTACATGGAACTAAGTTTGTATGTGAGTTTTGTTTTGGGTTTTTGTTTGTTTGTTTCAATGTGATGGAACAACAGATAAATCAGCAAATCCCTTCCAAACTGTCTTTTTTTTATTCTGATTTTGAGGATGCTTTATTCATATTGCCTGTCTCTGGAATTTTCCTTGCTGTATTTTCCAGGCAACGTTCTCAGTAAGAATAGGAGTAGGAACGAATCCTCCAACACAGACATGTGGACTGACCCTTTTTTCCTTTAGACTAGCCCCAAAAGGGAAGAAAATTAATTATAAATCTTTTATTAAAAACAGAGGTAGAAGCCACACACATCAGTGCAAGGAGCTGGCCTGATATGCTGGATAAGCTTGCAACACCTTCTGTAGCAGATTAAGTGACGAGAGCTACTGTGGCCCTTTCATTTTAGAGTCCAGATAAATATTTAAAGTAGCGCTCAAGGAAGCAAGCTGCAGTGGTTGTGTATCTGTCTACCTTTGCTCTCTGGCAAATCTGGTAATGTTTATATTTAATTCACCAGAAGACTTTAAAAGAAACCTCTTGTCTGAACACGTTGGCCTTCTGAACAGAGTGTTTCTTCTGGGTTTCCAGATCCATCTCTTTTTGCCACTGCTCCTAGTTCATGTTCTGCAGCCTCTAACCATAGCCTCTGACCTGCAACATGTCTGTGTGGTGTTCTAAAAATGACCCAGTCCGATTTTATTAGGAAGTGCACCACAAACAGTGCACAGAGAAGCAGAGAAGCAAAGCTGAGCTAAGTGCTGCTGTCTAGCAGAATATGAAATACTTGCACCAGGGAGGGGAGATGTGTGCTTCATCCTTGGCAGTAACGACTGGAGCATTCTTAGCAAGAGGCTGTCACGAGGCTGTCCCGCGCTGGGAGGGACTCTAGGCTTGTCTGATATAAATCCAGCCAGAGTCCCATAGTAAAGGTTTATTTCCCTTTGGAATATGGGCCAGGCTCCAATGATTATCCCTTCCAAATACTGTCTCGTGACTGTGTTTACTTACATTACGTTGAGTTTGTCTGACCCTGCTGACTGATGTCATGTCTTCACGAGCAGCTTACTACCCAATAAATATTTGCAGGGCAGCAGTAAATAAGGAAGGTTCACAAATGGCCCAGAACTGTCCCTAGTCCCAAGGACTGGGATGTAATTAACTAATTCTGGTGCTTATTGTCATCTTAGTCTGAATCTCTGCGAGGGAATTTGATTCCTCGAGGAATAATACAAAATGTGCTATTCAGTTCCATGTTGCAGTACCCTGGAGGACAGCCACTGCTCCATCTGGGCACTGTTGACCTCCATGGAGTCGGGGCAGGCACACATTCCCAACACTGTACCCTGCATCATCTGCTTTCTTCCTGGCCAGCGGAGAGATAACTCTGTAAGATCAGTCAGCAATACAAGTGGTCAAGACATAGTGAGTAATGTGGAAGACGACAGTGTAAAGTAAGCTGCAGGTTAACTCAAACCTGCTAGAAGGAAATGGTTTTCGCAAACCTCAGTGGTGTTTAAGTTACAAAACTGCATCACTGCTTTTGAGAGCTTAGCCGAATTCAACAAATACAGAATGCAAATTAATAAAAGCTTGTTGGAATTGCCATACTGCATCAGAGCTGAGGGCCATTCAGGTTAGAGTAAGCTTTTGGCAGTGTCTAGCACTAGATACTCTAGAGGAAAGAATCATATTGTTCTTAATAGTTATAACATTTATTTCAAGAACTCCAACCGCGATTTACTAATGCATATGTGGAATGTACACACATACGGACATGGACATTTATCCAGGGAAGGCTATTCATACCTTATAAAGCAATTGCTCAGACCATTGGAAAGAACGTTACATAGTCACCTGAACCTGCCCTCAGAATACAAATGCAACCTTCAATTTACAACCGAGGTGGCATTCAGTAGAAGTAAGGAGGCATTATAACCTCTCATATATAGCAGGAGTAAAACCTGTGCTGGAATATTGTCCTGATTTGTAGTGGCCATGCTTTCTAAACAAGAATGCTGACAAATTATACTTCAGACCAAAAGCTGTAAGAATTAAGTCAGTCTGGAAAAAGCTTACCTACTGCAAAACTCTTGAAATAAGCTTGATCAGTTTTATTTCTGAAACTATAGGTTAGGCACTGACTTGTTCATGGTCATTAAGTACCTATATGAAGAGTAGGCCTGCCATGGTAAAGAATAATGTAGTCTAGGTGTGTAAATATATAGAGGATTCACTGACTCGAAGCCAAGAGTGGATAAAAGTTGGACTAGATAAAAGGCAGTAGGGAGCTTTGGGGGTTTAGAGTGGTTTTTTTGGTTCCTTTTACAACAAAGTCAACTGTTGGTGGATTCTCATGGATGTGTTTTAGCTCAGCTAGTGGGCTTTTTGCAGATGCCGCTGAGATTTGATGGGCTGCTGGGCTGTTACGTGCTTCTGGTCAGTCTACATAACCAGAATGTTCTCTGTGATTCTCAGATGAAGGAATTCTCTCAGTTTTTGCTAGCATTAAGAATCACAAAGACGGATTTTCTAGCATATAAATAAACCTTGCTAAATTTCAGCCCTGGCAGTCGGTGTCAGTCAAGACCTAACTGAAGGAGAGACGGAGGATTCACGAGTGCTTGGTTGTTTGGACCCAGGAAGCCTTACTCTTACCTGTCATTAGTGTTCCTTGCAGTTTTCTCTGGAGAGCTGATGCTAGCATCTCTTGCTGACAGGATTCTAAGTGACCTGATCCAATGTGGTAATGCTTATACTCTGAACAGGACTGATTGTGTTCGGAATAACTGTTAAAACTGCTAACCTGTTCGTAAACCAACAGTCACTTCCTCTGTCATGCGTTTGCCTTTCCTGCAGGAGCAGGTGGAGTATCACTGCTAAAACACTCCTGGTCCTAGATAGAGAACCCAGCAATGTAAGTCGCTGCCCCAGGAGACAAATTCTCTGTTATGCGGTTGTAAAAATTCCCTATGGCCTGCTTCTTCCTCCTGAATTGGCTCCCCTCTTCCTCTAACAATGGTCTCTATCTTCATATCTGCTCCCAGCGCTCTTGGAGACTGTAGTAACTTTGTCCATTGGGAATGGAGTGTACTTTTCCTGGGGAAGACAGCAAGACTAAATGATTCAAGCGGTAGCTAACACTGCAACGGATTTTTTTTTTTTTTAAATTCATTTTTTGGTAATAGCATGCAGAATTTTGGCAAGATCTGCTGGGCTTTTTTTGTGTGTGTGCGTGCCTTACAATAGGTTGGTGTCTGAGGGTGGCAGGCTCTTGGCATCATTTCACATTCCATCTGATGAGTTAAAAATGATAATCGAAAGAAAAGCTAGTGTTCCATACCTCCTTTTTCCTTAATGCTACTGGTAAGTCATGCACATCAGATCCATGAACATCGCAGATGGCGGGGCTGATGCTTTTTAAAGCCTTGAGCGAGTCTGTGTGGAGCTATTCAGAGGACAAAGCAGGAGGAAATTCCTCGGTATGAAGCACACGAGTTTGAACTCGAACGGGTGGGAGGCTTCCCCTCTCTTCCTTCCTCATCCTTCCCCGACCCCTGTCCCCAAAGCGAGCTGCGTAGTCCTACGTTAGTGAGTGCTCTGGTAAGAGTGGCTGCTTCAGAACCCCAGGCTCCGATTTAACAGTTTTCCTGCTTGAAGTTCTGAGAGAAAGAAAACTATGGCTTAAAGCAGAAAAAGCACCATCCCATGGAAACCCTTCCAGTTGCTCCTCTCTGCTATGGAATAGGTCGTTACTACCAGGGACTCCCACTGCACCTTTCAATTCTCGGACCTTGGACCAGTCACCTAACCTTTTTAGCTCATTATCTCTGCTTGTGAAAGCAATGCATTGTGGGTATTTTTGGTTTTTTCTTTTTAATTACATTTCTCTGTGTTTACTTTGATCAGAATTGATTGACTTGTTTTCCTGAGGTGTTGCATTGGTTCTTTAAGATGCTGAATAATAATACTTTGCATGCTTGTGTGATCAGCCAAATCTTATCGCATGTCTAATGTGCAGGGTAAAAGCAGGTGATGTATGGATGTCTGAAACAAAGTCACGCAGCCCTGTGGAGCTCGAAATACGTAATCATACACAACCCTCTGAAACGTGCTGCTGACGTAGGTGACTCCGGCCCCTGTGGGATGCCTGCTGAGGGGCCTCTCGATTTCACAAGCCCACTTCAGGAAGCCAATGTTTCCATATGTTTAGGGGGGTAACTAAAATCGTTCCAGGAGAATAAGCAGAGCGGAGGTTTCTAAACCCTTGTTTCTCTTCTTCAGGACATCAGATCTTTTTGAGCCTATTTTTATTGTACAAGATGGTGGTTCCCCTCCCTCTCTCCTTCGCATACTGTCTCCCCCTCTGCCCGCCCCTTCCCCTTTGCATGCCATGGAAGATGACTTGGAGACGTCTAGCGTGCGTGCGCACACACACATTCTCTCGCTGATTCGCTCCTGCCAAAAGCCCAGGTTGTGGATTCATACATCACCTGCCTGTGTAAAACGCATGTGCATGCTGCCGTCCTCAATAACCGGAATGTGTTTTCTGTTCTTTTGTTTTTTGTTTTTTGTTTTTTTGTTTTTGTGTGGATTTTCTGCAGTGTGGTTTACCAGGACGGATTTTACGGTGCTGACCTCTATGTAAGTACACACACCGGAGCCTTCTCGTCCCCAACCCCTGACAAGCCAGCCTCTTTTTTTTTTTTTTTTTTGGTTTTTTTTTTTTTTTTTCTTATATATATTTATATTTTTAAGAATGCAAGCATGCTTCTCTGTCACTGCGCTTGCCCCTGGGTGCAAGACCTAAGCCTTTGGGTTTCCTGATCATTGCCAGGGTCAGTTTACTGGGTGTCCTGTCCCCCACATGCACACTGCTACTAATCAGCCTGAGAGATGATTAGTGAATTAAAATTTCTCTCAACACTTCTCTCGTTTACATAATTCGGATATAAAAAGAACAGGACTGGTTTAGCCTCAGACCTTCCCTTTCCTTCTGCCCCTCCTCCCTCCCCTCTCTCTCCCCTCTTGGGGCCCTTTCAGGTTTGATTTGTGCAGCCCACACTAAAGCAAGCGAGCTGTATGTTTAAAAATGTTCCATGTGCCACTGGGATGTGGAGATTATCCCTTTGGGGAAGACGCTGGGACTGATTAAAAATGGAGACCGAGATGCTAGAGTGAAAACTGACATCTCATTTTGCTGGTAGAAATGGTACCTAAATAGGCTAGTTTCTCTCGCCTTCTTGGGGAATTGTAAAGTACAAATATGTGGAGATGTTCGGTTAGAAGAGTCAGCAGCCTCCTCCTGCCTGGGAATTAGCGCTGATACCATGGGAGACTTTGTCCTGTCATTGTTTTTGTCCTACCGAGCCAGTCGGAATCGCAGATCTCCCAGGCGTCTGTGTATAGGCAGGTGGGTCGTGGATGGAGGGATTCCGACTGGCCAGTGAGAAAAGCGGTTTCCTCTCCGATGGAGAGCTGTTGCCGAGCAGCTATGGAGGAGTACGCCCTTCAAAGCCAAAAAGTTCAGATCCGCTACTGCTGTCGCAGCTTGTGGCCTGCCTAGGTCTAGCAGAGTTCCCTTTCGTGGTGGTGTAGGTAGTAGCTCTTTGGAGCTGGGGAGGTTTTGTATTGGGTAGCGGCACAGTTGTCAGCATGGATTTCACATCCCCAGTCCTTTGAAGGTGCTACCTCTGACATTTATAAAAAGCACCCTGGAGTTAGACTCAAGATAATGGATGGAATTAGCTTTTGGATTTTGTTGTCTTATATGGAGGGTCAAGTCTTGTAAAAGTGCTTTTCCCAACACGGTTACAGCAGTTGGAAGACATACTATCTGACCATAGAGACACTGTGTGGATTCTTTCATTTTTACATACACTGTCGTGTGCACAGTGCTTTAACAACTGATCTGCCTACTCAAGTGTTCCTTTATAAAACTGTGTCAAGGACTATGGAGGGTTCTGGTTTTTCCTGCCTCACTGCTGAAACACCAGCTTTACGGCCCCCTGACTTTGCTACAGCAAGTAAGCAAGCAAATGACCAATGCTTAGTGCCTCTTCCCTCAGAGTACAGCATACAGGAGGTGGTCATGCTGAAAGCGAAGCCTGGTCAGGGTTATTTTTGAGAAAGCTCCTTCAGAGCTTCCATTGCAGGTGGGTAGGAGAGGCTTACTTAATGCGTTTTAAGGACAGAGACCAGTAACGAAGAATCCCCGTAACTAATTGGTGCTGCAGTGCGGTAGCATCACGTAGCACAAAACCAAGCCCCAGGTCAGGTTAGAAATGTTTAGGTGGACTGCTGACACTTTTGCTGTTGGTGGCTCTGGTCTCGCTGTTGGAAAGCAGCACAAGAGAAGAGGGGACTCATCAAGGTAGATGGTGGTGCTTTTTCCTATGTTATTGCTGCCCGGAGCCCTCCAGCGGAGCTCAGGGAAAAAGTGGTTACAATCCAAACATGAAGTTACCCTTCCAAACAATTTCCTTGGCACAGGTGGAATGCTTACAGTGTCGCTGTGCCCCCCTGATTTGTCATGCCTTTCACTGCGGTGCTGACGTCCCTCTAGTTGCTGTGTAAGGCTTGTACAGGTTGTGGAAGGGATGGCAGAGGGCACTTCAGTTAGGACTCGGGGGGGAGTTAAACTGAGGTTCCCTTAGGTCTTCTGAGTCCGTAGGGTTGTGTCAGGGAAGGGTGGAAAGGAGCTGGGCTGGCAGGGAGTGGTTAGGCAAGATGAAGGGGAAAAGTCCCAACTTCAGGCTGCTTTTTCTGCATACGTGTTAGGCACCAATTTCTCATTTTCCTCCTCCTCCTTTTCCTCACTCCTTTTTTTTCTTTCCTGGGGCAACCATCCTGCTAGCCATTTCTTCTGTGAAGAGGGCATTCCATCTCTTGTTGGATTCGTCCCACTCTGGCAAGACACCTGAATTCGTAAAACAACCTGCCCCAGGATGCAGAGGGCTTCATTTTGGATGATAAGAAAGGTTATCTTTCTTCTACAGTGGGGGTTAATCTGGGTGGCGGGGGGGAAACCCAAACAAACCCACCCGTGCGAAGACTGCTCCTGCCTGTGAAAAGCGTGCTTGCATCCACTGGAAAGAAAAGGCTGGTGAGCCCTGCCGCGGGCTGTTTGTATGATTGTTTCTTTCCACAGCTGTGTTTTTTTGAACTGCTCTTCCTGTGTTCTGTTATAGAATAGTCTTACAGGAACCAATCATTAGCGCTAAAATACCTCAGGTAGGAGTGCCAGTGTGACCTGCCAACCGATCAGATTGTGGATTGCAGTGGAAAAAACTGAATTATACTAACCATTCCAGCACCACATTAGAGATGGGAACAGAGGCTTTTTTAGGGCAGCGCAGACTCACGTGTGATCCAAGCCACCGCTGTAGCAGGGCGGCGTGTGTCCAGATTTCACAGCGAGTGGCATTCTGTTAAAAAAGAAAAACAGTAACGTAAATTCAATGGAAGGGTTAATGAGGTCATGCTTGTCCCATTACCATGTAGAAGCACCTGCTGCAATGGACACTGTTGTCCTGTCACCTCTTTTAATTCATTCATGCTCATTCCTGGTGCACGTATGCCACCCTTCTAATACAGAAATACTGGAAACAGTTCTAGCCCTTTCTGCTTCTTAACTTCTGTTACAGGGCAGTTTGGGGGTGGAGAAGACACTTTTGAGATACGACAAATAAAAGATCCTAAAATTGGGCTGGGCTCGCTGCCGAAACCTGGCGGTGGTCAAACGTATCTGACTGGTACTGTGAATTACACATTTCTCCAGGGATATGGGAATGCTTGTGTCTTAGTGGCGTGATGACTCTTTGGAGTCCAAAGAGGGCCAGCAACACACAAAGTCTGAGGCAGCAAGGGAAAAAGAAAAGGGAGGCTTTTACCATGGGACACACTGACATAGTAAGCTGTAGTTTTGTATTTCCTCATGTTCACGTTGGATTGATCACCTAATACGGACCTGAAGAGTGGAAGAGAAGACGGACTTATTTTGAGCTGAACTGTGTAGTTGTAAAGTGCTCATTTATCTGCATTGACATGCTCAGTAATTGGAATGCTGCTTTAGTTGGGATTGCAGCTTCCTGTGTATGTTGTTTTGCTATGCTTGTGTTATTTCAGAGAATATATGACAATAATGAAAAAGGTGTCATCTGATGTTAAAGAAGGAATTTAAAGAAAATATTTTCTTGCTTCATTGATGAGCCAAAGATGATAACATCACAGAAGAGTCATTTTAAATTTGGGCTTTTGTGAATACCTGAGCAAATAAGGTTGTTTGACAGCTGAGATCTGTAGGCTCAAGCGCTACACATTCGCATGGGGAAGGGAGTTTAGCACAGCCCCAGCAACACTGGCAGGATATCCAGAGAAAGAGATACGCAACGCTTAGGGTTGTGTTCATCTCTCACATGCTCCCCAGACAATTCAAAAGACTGTACCAGAAAGGACCTATCTTTATTTAGGCAGTCCTTTTGGTTGTTACTGCCCAGTGAAAATATATAAGACTTTTCCTTAGTTCCCCTGTGTCCGTGTCGAGGCAGTGTTTAAACTGTCCCTTTCCTAGAAGCGTCTCTGACTTAACATCTTAGCCAGAAGCTCAGCCACGCTCATTTCTTTTGAGATGAGGCTAAAAATTTTAAAAACTGAACGTAGGTGGGTAAATCTGTCCTTGTGGAATCACTTCACTTAAATAGGTGGCATGGGAGTTTGCCTGGCTGTCCTGGGTTTCAGGGACTATGCCACTCGATGGTGTCTGCTGTTGCAGTTTGGCTGTGGCACTGGAGGAGTGTGGTACAGCTAGCAAGAGCGTTTTTTTTTTCTTTTGTTCTAATTACTATTATTATTTCTTTCACTGAGAAGCATGATTGTTCATGTTTGAAGATGCTCTACACTGTTACAGTTTGTATTGACTAGAGTGCCCAAAGTGAGTGGGATCAGAAATCACTAGGGGTGGTAGGACCATGAAGCTGAGGTTACGGATGAGCTCTGCGTACCAATTAAAGTTGCGTGTGAACAAGAATAGCAGGAGAAAATAACCAGTGCATTGGACAAGCTGAGCAGGGCTTTAGACCCATTGATGGAGTTATAGGTGGGTCCTGGGTTATGGAAAACAGGAGCATCAGCTGGATAAAGCAACCTGCACAGCGTGTCCTTTGCTCTGTGCTGGTCCCAGAGCTTGGTGGAAGCATTTACAAAATAACGAGTAATAGTCGCAACTTTCCTCCTCTTTCCTTCACCCTGTTTTGGTGTATTTGGACCTGCTGGTCATGCTAAATACATCCCTATGTCAGAAATCCCCCAGCTGTCCACACTCATTGCTCCTATGACAGGAACGTACCATGGCCATTATAATCCCCATTTTTGGTTTTATTTGACGTACACACAAGTAGAATTTGCAGACCACTTTGAACCGAGCGGGTCTTATTGTCTGACCTTTTTTTTTTTTTCTTTTTTTTAAATTAACAGTAGCTTCAGTTTTGCATCAGTGCATGGTTAAAAAGCAATACACATGTCAGCTATTTCTTAACTTCATTTCTCCAATGAATTATTTCTCCTGTTTTTTTTGTTTGTTGTGCAGTTGACTGAAGAAATGTTAACATCCCGCTCTAAATCTCTCAGTGGAGTCTCTGTTCCCTTCTCTGATATAACAGATGGGTTATTGCTTGTTATAATTATTAACATTGTGGTGTGGGACAGGGCTAGGGTGGGAGCCATTTTGGGGGGCGAGGGCGGGAGGCTGCGGGAGTCCTTAAGGTTGGAATGTTAACTCCAGTGGTGACTGACTGTTTCCGTAATAGCAGGTTGTTGTGGCTGCACGCTCTAGTACTTGAGGCTGTGTACTTCACTGAGCTTGTGGTAGAGCCTAGGGCGAACTGCTGTCCCAAGAGAATGCTGGGATGGATAGAACTAGCCAATATGAGTCTGAACGTGGTGACTTTGCTGGTTGTTCTAGCTCCAGATGTCAGCATGCTTAGTTTTTAATTTTGATTAATAAATGTTACGCCATTCCCCTTCCCACACCTGATTCCAACCCTTCTTTTCTTATCTTCTTCTTTTTTTTTTTTTGGTTTGGTTTGGTTTCGTTTTCCTTTACGAGAGACATGACTTAAGAGAATTACATGATAACCCTTTTATGGTTTCCAACTGCATCTCGCTGTCATGTTCAGAGTATTTGCCAGGCACATTTGAAATAGTTTCTGATCCGAAATGTGGCTGGCAGGTGAGGGACAGGGTGGGGGGGAATCTGGGTGTGTGCTGAAGCCGGCAGCCGTGTGGAGGGTAGTGATGGGGGGAAATGGGCAACACCATTTGCCCACGC